AAAGAAGCACAGACCATAAGCTCTAAGAAAAAGCCAAATCTGGAAGGAAAGAACGGGGCAAAGAAAACCCCATGTTTCACGGACTTGACTTTGAAACACTGCATAGAAATGTAAATATACACTCTAAAAATCTCTAAAAATCAAAAGCAAAATGAAGTAAATGAAGCTAACTGGGTTTCGAGGTGGTGGCAGAACCACGCACAAGGAAATAATTTCAAGTGATTTCAAACCAGTAATTTTGTTTTAATTCCCTAGTGAAACCCATACCCTGAGGACTAAGAGAAGAGATATAAACCACCGGGAAGTGTTTGCGGCAATCAAACACGTCCAGGGTTGCCTGGAACTGCCCTTCTGAAAGGGCTCGGTGGGTGCTAAAGAGGCAAAGGAGGGCCCCTGGAGCTCTGGATTCTGCTCCCAGGAGACAGGGACAAAGACAGACCATGGTAGAGATTAAGAAAAGCCCCCGGGGCTAGCGATGAAGTGTCAGAAGGAGCTTATAGTGTGTTTGTTTTCAAAATATTTTTTCTACTTCCATCCCCTGAAGGCCCCACCAAGGCCCACCATGAGCTCCTCTCATGCCCAGACCAGCCGGGGAGGCTGACGCTAGGGTCCACGGAAGGCGGTCATCAGGAGTCTGAGACATCTTGCTGTCCCAAAGAGCAAGGATGCTCTCAAAGACGGCAGGGCTGGGGTCAAAAGAACTCAGGAACCAACCTTAAGAGGTCCCCACGGGCTAGAAATGGGACAATTTCAGCATCTCTGAATATAAAACTGCAACAGACTCAAGACATCGTGTATCTTTAAATCCACGTGTCAATGATGATCTACCAATCAAAATACAACAAAATGAAGAAATAAACAAAATTGGATTGGTCCCCTTTGTTGATGTTAGAGAACTAACTCTTAATTTAAAAAAAAAAAAAAAATAACTGGTTGGGGGTGAGGAAACAGTTGTTCTGCCTGTCATGGATTGAATTGTATCCCCTAAAAATATCTGTCAACTTGGCTGGGTCATGATTCCCAGCATCGTGTAACTGTGTACCATTCTGTAAATCTGATGTGATTTCATGATGTGTTACAAATTCAATCACTATGATCTAATAAGATGGATTAGCGGCACTTATACTGATGAGGTCTACAAGATTAGATACTGTCTTAAGCCAATCTCTTTTGAGATATGAAAGAGAGAAGCGAGCAGAGATACATGGGAACCTCACAGCACCAAGAAAGCACAGCCGGGAGCAAAGCGCGTCCTTTGGACATGAGGTTCCTGCGCAGGGAAGACTGATGACACGGACCTTCCTCCAGAGCCAATAGAGAAGGAGTTCCCCTGGAGCTGATGCCCTGATGTTGGAATTGTAGCCTACTAGACTGTGAGAGAATAAACTTCTCTTTGTTAAAGCCCTCCACTTGTGCTTTTTCTGTTAGAGCAGCCCTGGATGACTAAGACACCGTCTTTCCTGTATGTGTTGTACCCTTAGAATGTGAATAGTGGATGCAGGGAGTTACTTTATATACAAGTATTCCACCCAAAAGGAGCCCTGGTGGTATGATGGTTAAGCACTTGACTGCAAACCAAGAGGTCGGTGGTTTGAACCCACCAGTGGCTCTGTGTGAGAAATACTTGGCAATCTGTTCCTATGAAGATTACCCTAGAGAACCCAGTGGGGCAGTTCTACTCTGTCACATGGGGTCACCATGAGTCGCAATCAACTCAGCGTCACACAACATTCCAGCTAATAAATGAAGAAAGAATAGTAAAATTAGAAAATCCCAGTGTAATAAATCAGGAGTAATCCCTGGGTTCAACAAACAGTTAAGTGCTTTTCTACTAGTTGAACTGTTGGCAGTTCAAACCCACCCAGCAGGGCCTTGGAAGACAAGCCTGGCAATCTGCTTCCAAAAGGCTGCAGCCTTGAAAACCCTATGGGGCAGTTTTACTCTGCACACATGGAGTTGCCATGAGTCAGAGTCGACTTGACAGCAATGAACAGCAGCAGCAATGAATCAGGAGGTTTAGGCAGTAACCATGGATGACTGCTAAGATGCAAACAGACATCATCTGCCCCCCGTGGACGTGCTCAGCACGACCCATGACAGAGTCCAGCCCAGGAGTTCCGCGCCTGTATCTCATCGGCCCTCTCGATATTACTAGGAATTTACAGGAAATATTCGGGACAGAAGAACATTTAAATGGGATGCAACTGGCAAAATCCAGATGGTGGGAAACTCTATAGGACAAACAACTCAGTTTCTTTAAAAAATAATTTGCAGAAAGTTTGGCAAGGGATACTGGTAATGGTTACACAACATGATTTACGTCATCAGGTCACTGAATTGTATGTGCAAAAAATGTTGAATTGGCGAATTTTGTGTATACGTATTTTTACCATAATAAAACATTTTAAAAAAATAATAATTTCAAAAGAAACAAAACCAAGCTGAAAGATTAAAAGAGACTCAAGAGATATCAATTAATTCAATGTATGCATTTCATGTGGACCCTGATTTGACCCAGTGTTAAAAAAAAACAAACAGAAAAACCTACATAATCATTGGGCCATCAGGGGCCTCTCAAAACTCACTGGATGTTGGATTTTATGGAATTGTTTTTTGTTGTTGTTCTATGGGGTTTTGCGGGGGGGATGTTCACAATGTGGTTATAATGGTATTGTGAATGCCTCGTCTGTGATAGATGTAAACTGAATGATTTACGGATAAAATTACATGATTTCTTGAATTTGCTTCAAAATAATTTGGTGGATGGGGGTTGGAACATGGGTGGAGACTTATATGGAGAAAATATATATGGACCCACACACACACAAAAAAAAACTCATTGCCATTGAGTTGATTCCAACTCATAGCAACCTTACAGGACAGAGCAGAACTGCCCCACAGGGTTTCCAAGGAGCAGCGGGTGCATTCGAACCACCAACCTTTTGGTTAGTAGCCAAACGCTTAGCCACTGTGCCAGCAGGGCTCTGTATATGGGCCATGAATTGAAAATTGTGGCAGCTGGGTGTTCCTTAGACTATTCTTTCCACTTCTGCATGTTTGAAATCGGTCATGATAAAAAGTTTAAAAATAACAAAACATAAATCTACTTGTTGAGTGCACTACTAAAATACAAGGTCTGGCTGATTATACTTAGTGTGATAATACGTCTGTCTGTCTGTCTGTCTCCCCAACTTGGCAGTGAGCTCCGTCAGAGCAGGGACAAAGACCACTGCTCCTTTCATCCTGAATGTCTCGAGTACCCAGGGCACTAAGGAAATTTTGATGGATGAAAGAACAGGTGAGTGGACACGCAGATGCATTAACCAACGTTATAGATTTGTAGAGACACCTGAGACATAAAATCAATTCTTTCTGCCGGGCAATACCAGATAGAAATAAAGGGGTGAGTTCTGTATTAAGACCAAGATATTTTTGGGAAATGTCAAAGTGCACAATTTCTGTTTTACTCGGTTCTGCTGTTGTTTCTGGGGGTCGCGTTCAGATCCCCTGGCTCAATTTCTGTTTGACTCGGTTCTGCTGTTGTTTCTGTGGGTCGCGTTCAGATCCCCTGGCTCAATTTCTGT